GGAGCGCTGTGCGTCAGCATGGACTCCATGGCAGTGAACTTTTTGTGGGTGTGATTTGTCCTAAATAAACAAATGGCTGCTGAATTTGCTGCTGGTGTTCCTTGCCATCAAATGGATTCGATGCCCTGGGCGGAGTAAAACTGCTCTGGAGTGTGGTCCAGGCTGCGACCTACCTGGTCTGTCTTCAGAGACGCCTCTGGCTGGGCCTGAACTGACAACCTCTGGGCTGGTGGTTGAGCTCATAGCCCTTTGCTCCACTCAGGGACGTATTAGGTGGCTACATGAGTGAATAAAAATTCTGATGCCTCCAATGTCATTTTCCTAGATACTGGTTCAATAACGTACGACACGGAGAACCACGGTCCTCTGAGCCCTTACAGGAAAGAGAGGACAGGGACCGGCCAGTAAATGGCTTCTTTAATAAAAACGCCCGTGATGGGACATGTGGTTTGCGGGGGGTCAGCGGCGATGGAGTGGCTGTTCTGTCGTGAAAAGGGACACCTGGATGAGGGGACAGAGGTACGGGAAGCCAAAGCACTTCACAGGCCTCTGCAGGCCAATGGAATCAAGGTCAATCCGAAATACGGAAACCAGACAGGACAAGCTGAGGTGGCGCCTCTCTTTATAGGAACGCGGATCCATGCTTGCTGATACCACAGGGCGTGGCTCCGAAAACTGCCCAACTACGTGGGCATTTGCGAGATATTTCTCCACAGATATTGTAACCAAGCCCTCACACTTGAAGGGGCTTCAGGGGTTGCTTTTACAGAACAGGTGTTCCAAATGGCTGACCATTTTTTTTAAGGATGAGAGCCTGCGGACAGTTTGCTACCTAGCAGGTAATCATCCCCCCAAACTGAATGCTGATTCATTTGACTCCTCAAAGTGACAGCGACTCATTTTCACCAGTGAAAAATTACCAGCATCTCCCAAAGGAACTTGTGCTTCGGAGAGACTAGTTTGAAGATGGGGATCTTGTGGTTAGAAACATTAAAACATTTATTTTGAAACGCCTCTGTTTGCACACCTAAGAATATTGAAAACAGATGCTTGGCTTCACCTGCTTGGAAACCTCCGTAATGAAGAGTTTCCGTGGATGTTGAGTCCATTTGCTAAAAATGTAAAAACGCAATGATTTCCAATTAGCTTGTAAGAGCCACTGACATCAGGGGAGATGGACATTAACTAGATTAATTTCAACAAAAAGCCTCTAATTAGGGGATGAGATTGAACATGAGCACCGTGACTTACTGCAGCCTCCTCTTTGGATCAGCTGTGAGCCATTAAAAATCAAGTAAGCTCAAACCAGACCTCTGAATTGCTCTATCTCAAAGTGTTCGCGCAAGATGTCAGATAGCCCTTCACGCTCCCGCACCCCTCCGGCTTTCCTGTACAACATGGTTTCTCGTTGTATGCAAATAATAAAAAGTGAGAGGAAGGACCTTGCGATATAAAATAGCTTATGCAAATGTCCTTTCCAGCCGGACGTTATTATTATTTTTTAATTGTGCATGTTTGATTTCCCGTTGGTGGTGGTAGCTGCCGTCAGCTGGTTCCAACTCATGGGAGCCCCATGCAAAACAGAACAAGTTGATAGTGAGGCCTGCGCCCGCCCACCCTCAGCTGTGGATTGAATCTGCTGTGATGCCCAGGTCACGTTTTCACTGGCTAGTTTCCAGAAGTCCACTGCTCGTCTTCCTTCCTAGCCCGTCTGAATCTGAAAGCTCAGCTCACAGTCACATGCAAGCCGCCACTGGCAGACGCATGAGAGGTAATGACTAGGAATGGAATCTGGGTATATCCTGTTGCTCTAAGGAGCTCTGGGATAAGAACTGGGCTACTAACCCCAAGGTTGGTGGTTCAAAACCACCAGCTGCTCCGCAGGAGGAAGCCTGTAAAGATTTACAGTCCCAGACACCCTGTATAGGGTCACTATGATGGCAGTGCATTTGTGTTGGGCTTCTGCCATGGTGACATAGTAGCAGGAGTCCATAGTTTTATAAGCGAATACACACATATTTTGGGTACATGCTCAATAGTCATTGTTGCGGGGAATGCAGGATCAATGTTAGTCTCTGATCAAGACTAACACTTTCAGATCACTCTCAGATAGATGCGGCAGCATGAGGCCCTGGGAGAGGGGAGTAACTTGCTCAAGGTTGATCAGCAGGGAAGGTAGAAAGCCTGTCCTGGGACCCGGGTGCCCTGAGTCTGCCTGGCCCTGCTTCTACCATCCAGGAGAAAGGGGGTGATGGAGCATAGCCCACGGTGATTAAAACCTTACTTTAAGCAAGTCACATCAAATGCAAAAGCAGAGCGGCTTGACGGGTAAGTCATGGGATGGGCCAGATGTCCCGCCATTGGCCTGTTTGAGAAGTCTGGGACCTGGGCAAGGGCAGTCTGGGAGAGCTCTGAATGGGACCTATGGGAAAATAAGGCTTGAGGAGGGTGGAGAAGCCAGAGTGTTTCCTGTGGGAACAGCAAGTCCATGTTGTGCCACAGGGCTGTGGCTGGGTCACCAGAGCCGTGTCTGAACCTGGAGGGCCAGTTCTCTATGAGGTCTACCTAGACACCTGCCAGGAGAGTGACCCAGGGATCCGTCTCTGTTCCAAAAACAGGCAGCTTCCTTCTCCCCAAGTTCCCTGCCTGGTCACCCCCAGAAGGGTCACCCAGGGCAAACGACTCTCCTGATAACAAGATGCAGCTTAGGGGCAACCTGTGGTGCTGGGGGGAGCGCTTCTCGGGGCCCGGTGACATTGCCTCAGCGCCTCTCTCCACCCTCTACCAGAGCTAAGAATCAGCTCAGCCTGAGCCTCAGAGTACCCCCCCTGGACCTGCCCCCTGGGGGTCCAGCCCAGCCCCAGGGCAGACAGATGAGCAGCTAGAAAGGGGCAGGAGATCGAGAAAGTCTCATGAGTGATCACAGTTCTAGTTTTCTGTCTTCCAGGATTTTGATGTTGTTGCTATTATTTTACCAGTCTGAAACCTCATCCATTTCCACTCTGACATCTCACGAGAGATGTATCTTCTGTCTTAAATTCCACGCTCACTTAGCAGCCTTCAGTCCTCAGGAGAGGAGGAAAATGACAATTGATGAAGCGATGCTTCCATTTCAAGAATAACCTGTCCCTAGTCGGAAGGTGCT